CCCCCCCTCGTGCCAAGCCGGGGCACTGCACCCAGCGCTCACTCCTAACGGAGAGCACCCTACTGAGTCATCCGCCCCGCTCCCTGCTGCACCGCGCCCCCTAGTGCCAAGCCAGGGCACTGCACCCAGCGCTCACTCCTAACGGAGAGCACCCTACTGAATCATCCGCCCCGCTCCCCTGCTGCACAGCGCCCCCTAGTGCCAAGCCGGGGCACTGCACTCAGCACTCACTCCTAACGGAGAGCACCCTACTGAATCACCCGCCCCGCTCCCTGCTGCACAGCGCCCCCTAGTGCCAAGCCGGGGCACTGCACCCAGCGCTCACTCCTAACGGAGAGCACCCTACTGAGTCCCCCGCCCTGCTCCCCGCTGCACCTAGGTTTCCTTGGCAGTCTCCCCTCTGCAGCAGCACCCAGGCCCAGCATTGCCTGGCTTCTGTGCTCTGCTGGGATCCCAGCCCAGGTGGCCTGGCTGCAGCGTTTACACAGTGCTCAGCAAAGATGCGAGAAGAGGCTCTGCTCACATGGGATGACGCTCTTGTAGCGGTTCTTGGCCTGGTTGCAGGGCTCCTTGCCAGCATGGCCTGGGTGCAGCAAACCCGAGACCAGTTTCTGCGGGGGAAGAGAAGGGACTTAGGTTAGGCACGCCCAGTTGCCAGCCCTATCAGCACAGGGGCCAGCCTGAGGGCACCACACCCGCCAGGGCGCTGGGGCCAGAGCGCGACCAAGGCGGGCAGCACAGCTCAACCAGCATGGCTGATAGAGGCTTGTCTACACGGCGGAGTCATTCCAGAATAGGGTCAAGCGCTATAGCTGTGTAGCTCCAGCTAGTCTGGAACAGCGCCCCATGTGGCCATTCTGGAACAGCGCCCCGTGAGGCCATCCTGGAACAGGGCCCCATGTGGCCATTCTGGAACGGCGCCCCGTGAGGCCAGTCTGGAACGGCGCCCCGTGTTGTTGGGATCTGTATATATATATTTATACAGACAGTAAATCCTCACTTAAAGTTGTCCCGGTTAACGCTGTTTCGTTGTTACGTTGCTGATCAATTAGGGAACGGGCTCGTTTAAAGTTGTGCAATGCTCCCTCCTAACGTCGTTTGGCAGCCGCCTGCTTTGTCCACTGCTTGCAGGAAGAGCAGCCCGTTGCAGCTAGCTGGTGGGGGCTTGGAACCAGGGTGGACCGGCAGTCTCCCTATCAGCTCCCTGCTCCCCTAAGTTCCCTGTGCAGCAGCTGCCTGCAGTTCAGCTGTGTCCCTCCCCCCACTGCCATGTGCTGCTCCTGCCCTCTGCCTTGGAGCCGCTCCTGGGAGCCTCTTGCTTGCTGTGCGGGGGGTAGGCAGGGAAGAGAGGGGGGCTGTCAGGGTGTCCCCTTCCCCCCTGCTCCTGCACCCTGCTTACCCCATCTTCCATAGAGTGGGGGGGGGGGGGGGG